CGGCGGGGGGGGGGGGGGGGGGGGGGGGGGGGGAAGGTGGCAGCGCAATCGAATGGCAAGTTAGCCGAGGTTTGGGTTTTAACAGCAACATTTGGAGGGGGAGGGAGAAGAAAAACTTCTTTGGATAAACAGCGTTTGCACTGGGCTGTGTCCAGGGATGTTCTCCACAGTGTCTCCTTGGTGCGTTTCTTTCCCACTGACATAAGTGCCGAGGCCAGATGTCAACACTGCCGACTTCCTTGGGTTTATTCCTTTCGAGTGGGGTTTATTAGAGTGGACTAGAAATGGGATTGAGTTTGCACCACAGAGACCTCTAAGCTGAGGCTTGGCCCCCTGCTTGAAATCGCACACACGGTGAGCAAGGATGCTTGAGCTGAGGGAGACGTATCCAAAAGGGATGAGTCGTTGGCTGGCTGCTTCTCTGCTCTGTGATGTCTTTGTGAGCTCAGTTGTCATCTGGGGCTGTTCCCCCACTTCCATGGCTGTGGCCCTCGTCTATAAAAGGAAACAAAAAACAAGACAACTGACTGTCACTTGGGGAGGTTTATTTTTTTCTAAACCTTGCACAGCATAGGCACCAAGTGGGAACTAGGCAATATGGCCCCCGAACCCCACCTCCAGGGTTGGTGCTTGGACAACACATACCCCTCCCAACAAAAAATGCTCTTGAAACATAGCATAGCAGTCTTCTTGCAGCTTAAGCCCACTCCTAGCCCAACACTGGGACCATGTACCACAGATGACAGAACAGGGAACAGAGTGAAGAAATAGGGTGAATGAGTAGCCACCGTAACCCGAGTCCTGGGATGTCCTTTCCCATCGTCTCCTTTCAAGCTCTTGGTATGTTGTGCCCTGTGGCATCTGCTCATTAGCACCGAAGAATCCAGGCATTATTTCCATACCGTGGAGCCCCATGTCATGTCCCCTACCCGCCACTGCCCCAGCCTCCTATCCTCCACCCTGCCCCAGAATTTTGAAGGTCCTGCATATCAAACATGGGGGAGACGGAACATTCCAAGTCAGGGAAAATGGAATAAATTATCCGTAAGCGTCTCTGCCAAAGAGATGGGGAAACCAACGTGGAGAACAGTAACCGTGTTCCCCTCAAGGATTTCCCACTGCTTAACAGGCCGCTGGACACCCCCTCCTCCTGCTGCGGGAGGGGGCAGAATCCTCCCCAGTTCCTTTGCATCTGCCCCTAGGGAGACGTGGGGAGCTGCTTGCTACCTCCTGCCACCTCCCACTCCCTTTGTCTGAGGACCCACAGAGTTGGCATTTAGTCAGTCAGTGAATGAGCCAAAAATACGTAAGTGCTTATAAAACTGATGCCCATAAAATCGGGTCTCGGTGGATTCATAATCAAAGAAACCCAGTCTGGGACCTAAAACGCGATTGCAAAATAAGTCAGGCCTTTACTCGCGTTTCTCAAATATTGTGAAGGGGGCATGTGGACCACAACCCCTCCCGTCCCCATCTCTTTTCGATTCTACATCACAGAAGCCCAGAAAGCCAAAGCAGAACTCTTCCTTGAGGGCAAGAAAGGAAAGAAACAGCAGAAGAGGCAAAATCCTTGAGCAGACAGAGGAAGGCAAAGCTGGAAGCAATCCTGTTAGCATCGTTCTTGTCCCACCCCCACGGATCAGGCTCTGCAGGAGAAGCACGCCAGCCTTAACTGTGGTGCAATTTGTCCCCTGCCCTCCAGGAGCCTCTCGGTCTGCTGGGGGAAACACACACAGAACACTTAAAGCGGGAAGTAATTGCTGCAGGTGTAGCAGAACTGAACACAAGGCGTTCAGCCAGACAGGTGGGAGCCATAGGGAAGGCTTCCTGGAGGAGGTGGTACCCGAACTAAGCCAGAAGAAGAGGGGTGGGCAGGGCATTCTGGGTAGAGGGAAGCCAGTCCCTGCGGGAGGTGCTGACCGGCAGTTTGGCAGGAGCTCCAGGCCACGTGGGGCCAGAGGAGCCCCAGATAGGATGATGCTAAAGAGGTGGTGGAGGGCCGGAGTTCAGGCTTGATCCTGTAGGTCCCGGGGAGCCTGTAAAGAAGGGTGAGCCAGGATCTGTGTGTTAGCGGAGCCTGTGCAAAAGGAGGTGCCTGTGGATGGGGCCCAGCTGGGAGGTTTCACAGCAATCCAGGCTGGAGACGATGAGGCCTTGAGTGAAGCAAGGGCAGCGACAAGGGTGAGGAGGCCACTGATTCAAGAACTGCTTAGATGAAACTGGCAAGATGTGGGGATGAGGGAGGGAGAAAAACCAATTAGTCATTAAAGCTTTCGAAGCACGGCTGCCCTGCTGCGGAAGCACAGGGTCAAGGATCTCTTAGGCTGAAGTGGTCAGCCAGCGCCAGCCCCTCTGGTTGCTTGGTTCTATGACTTGTGACTTCCTTAGCTGAAAGGTGACACGGGCTGAAGGCATGAAGACTTTCCAGAAGGTTCTAGATCCAGGTGGAAGCTACATGGCCTAGGTCCTGCCATTTCCCTTCCTGGAACCACTGTGGGCTTCCCTAACTGACCAGACTCTCTCCCTGCTGGGCCTTAATGCAATTTCAGGATTCTCCTCTGCACGCTGCTCCAGAGGGGCCTAGAGCATCAGATGAAACCTATTAGCCGCCCTTGATATGGATTGATTTTGTTTCCAGTATCATCTCCCACCAAACATGTCCCTATGGCTCAGGTTTGTTCTACAGATCGAGTAAGATAATGCTTCCCAGGTGCCTAGCACAGTGCCTGGCAGAAAGCACTCAACTCTCTCCGTAACCAGCATTTGCATTCCTGGGGAAGACACACTGACTCTTACCCAACCCGCTGAGTTAGTCACCTATGCGAGCTGGTTACCTGTGATCCCAAACCCTTCTGTGCGGTTATACTTGCTATTATAATTACATCATTTAATTAAATGTTATATAAATTGATGAAAAAAGTCAGAAAAGACACAGAGTCGTTTCATTAAAACCAAGACTTTGGAAAGACTTGGTAGAAGTCACTTGCTTAAAAAGGCTATTGAATTAGGTGTAGGCAGCACAACTGTAAAAAAAAATAATAATAATGGGAGAAAGAAACGGAAAAATAGAGGATTCCTGCTTGCCCATGTCTTCAAGATCTGCTCCAATAAGAAACTGAACCTGAGAATCACAATGCAACATGGATGCAGTTTAGACACAAAAGACCATGTGGGTCGATCTCAAAGAAGCACCCAAGCCCTCCATCAGAAGATTGGCGAATGGGGCTTCCCTGGTGGCGCAGTGGTTGAGGGTCCACCTGTCGATGCAGGGGACACCGGTTCGTGCCCCGGTCCGGGAGGATCCCGCATGCCGCGGAGCGGCTGGGCCCGTGAGCCACGGCCGCTGAGCCTGCGCGTCCGGAGCCTGTGCTCCGCAAC